GGAAGTCATTGAGCAAACTATTGTGTAGAAATAGCTTTCAAGCCTCAACGTGTTCCTTTCCTGACCCCTAACACACTGTAAGTGAGATATGTGGCAGAAGTCAGCGGACCAAAGGCCTATTTTATTTTCTACATTTTTTGTATTTCTTACTATCTGCAAAATATTTTCCTTTCCTCAAACAGTCAGCAGAGGGCAGCACGGTGACAGCATGATGCGCACATCATTTCCGCTCTGCTTGCCGGCCTGACCAGTAGCAGTGGAATCTCAACAGCATATTGAGTGGAGCGAGCCACTCTGGAGATGTGGACTGTGATGCACTGAGAGCAGTGAGACTCTCAGCTGTGCTAAGTCAACTGCAGTCGGAGAATCAGGTCAGAGAGTGGAAGTGTTTGGCTAAAAATAGGTCCCCTGTTCTAAGGAGCCTTATCAACCAGTGGCAACCTACTCCTAGGAGTGGGTATTCAAACCACAAATTTAGCCGGTCACGAAAACATCTGATTCGTTTAAATCACGTTCAGTGTGCTGTTAAGGAATTCTGGGATATAAAAAAGTGTTATGTAGTTCTCTACTACAAACTTTTTGACCCGCGAGTCACCATGGGTCCTAAAATTTGATAGGGGGGGTCGGGTCAGGAGCAGATAGATGGAGGGTCGTGTGAACTAAGAGAAATGACATGTAAAGGTTATGCATTCTATTGAGGAAATACTGTATGTCCGATATTACATTTTTGCCGATATCCGATAAGCCAATATTGTCAAACACTTAATTTCCGATTCCGATACCGATATATGCAGCCATTTGCCCCCAAAACTGATGTAAACGTCTCAGGACCCCACAAGCAATTCCAGCATGTTTGACATAACGCAATGCCGTTATCGGGTTTTCATTATCGGAGGAGAAACCGATAACGATTCTTACAGATATTACATATTATGCTAATATCGGGGCGGTGATATCGATTGGCGGATATTATCGGACATCCCTAATTAATAATATTACATATTATGCTAATATCGGGGCAGTAATATCGGGGCAGTAATATCGGTTGGCAGATATTATCGGACACCCCTAATTAATAACAAAATTTAGACAAGTTTAGTGGGCCGGATTAAGAAGCCAAGCGTTCCATATCCAGCCCCCGGGCCGTAGTTTGCCCATGTCTGAGTTAGGCTATTGAGAGAAAAAAAAGTCTAGAGTTTAGAGTTGAGTAAAGATGATAAATGGATGAACACATCTGTAGGTCATGATGCTGATGGAAGTAAAAATACATGTAAACATGCATGTAAACATGATGACATTGTATAAATACTGACGTACATCAATAAAAACCACACGTATTTTGCAGCATCTGTACAACAACAACACACTGAGTACTGCACTTTACCAGTGCCATCCGTGGCTCACCTCTGTCCCTCTCTGTCAGTTCCGAGACATCAACTCAGCCAAACCCACAGCTGTCTCCAGGCAACAGAGTAGCCACGGAGACGGAGGCTCTTTTGGATCGCCAACATGGCAGGAAGTGATGCATTGGTTGGATTGGGTAATTACAGGTTGTTTGTTTGCCCCCTCCCGCTCCACTTTTTTTTTTTTTTTTAAATACAAGCTGGCTGCTTGTCGAGGCAGTGAAGAAGAGTGATGTGGTAATCTCTGCCCGCACTTGTTCCATCAAGAGTCAAGAGTGCGCGTGTGCGCGAGTACGTGTTAGCATTTGAGACACTGGGTCACATAAGCGCACGATCATTTGGTAAAGTAAGTAATATCTGTGATAAGTGTTTTTATTTACATTTTGGATGTACACATGTGAGTTCAATCAAGGTGTAATGAGCAGCAGCACGTCCAAAACTGTGCCATTTAGAGCTAAGCTAAGCTAATAATTGCACTCATCATTCTTTTTTTTTTTCTTCAAATGTCAGCGTTAATTGTCCTCCATTATCAGTATCCATCATCACCGCACAGATGCCCAGCACAATTAACTTCATTTTACCTGTGACAGTCAACTACTGTAATGAGATTTTTACATCATTCATCACAGTGGCGTGCACATATAGACACTAGGTGGTGCTGACGTAAATGTTTTTCTCTTTTTTAAGTCATTTAATTCTCGATTAAAAGTGCGAAGTAATACTCCCTAAAACTATCTCTACGTTACAGTTTACCTTAATAGGCTAATCAGGCTATAGGCTTGACAAATTATAGTTACTGCCCCATGGTTTCTTTGCATTTTCGTTGTTTACCGTAACCTACCCTAAACAACCTAGCCAGATTTTTCAAACGATAAACAACATGTGAATGATTTGGCACCTCCGTCTTAATGCTACAGTGCTAGCTAGCGAGCCACTGGGGGTCACACGGGTTCATGCGTTCATGGACCCCCGGCAGCTCATCTGGTCTGCTCTGATTTCCTCTCAGCCGCCTGATGAGGAACAGTGGCCCAGATGTGGCAGAGATTACAGACCTCCACAGTGGAGGGGCGGGAAGGCTGCGAAACCATTCAGGAAAATGAACACAATGGGACAGCGGTACGGCACACATGTCCACGCCATTAAGTCGGAAACCACGGGAAATATCTGTACAGGGATCAGATAACAAAAACAAAAAAACAAACAAACAAACAAAAAAAACAACAACAAAAAAACACCTGACAGATTGTTCATTAAAAAGAAAATTCAATTCTCAAACAACACTGGTTAAAGTTGATGAATATCTATTACATTTTAGTGCAATATTTTACACTATTATTATAAAAATATACTTTTTTTAATTAAGCCACAATGTGTATACGGGGTTAAAATATATTGATAATTGAATTGTCAATATATTAATATTATTATAATATATATATAAATATATATATATAATATAATAATTTTATAATTATATTTTTTATATAATTTTTAATATAATTAGCATATTTATTTACCATATTGCGCTACTAAAATAGTTACTTCTGTATGCTATAACACCCTGTCTGAGTTACTATTACTATAACTGAGGACTGCTGGGAAATTCTGGAATTTATATTTATTTATATTGCTATTATTTATATAATTCAACAGAGGAGGCAGCGTAAGACACCAACCGTCGGGGACGTACAAATCTGTTGTTGTTCACATAATTTTATTTGAATATATCTCTATCATATACAGTACATACAATACAATATGCTCAAGACAGAGTTTTATGGCACATCCATTGTTGTACATTTTTGCAGTGGTCGGTATTGCTGTGAGGCTACGGTGGAGTGAGAAGGGGGCGGGGGGTGGGGGCGGTGTTTGACCTCCGCAAGTTTAAGAAGGATGCTACAGCGAAACACATGCACTATCAAGTCATATACACCACTCAGGATGGTTCACGCATCCATTTTTACACGGACCGATACTTCAGAAGCGGATGATTAAGATCTGTCCCCTCCCGATTTTAGTAGTTTTTTTAGCCTTAGAACACGCTACAACAGTGGCTACTGTGATCCTGGAAACACTACAGGATGAACGCGGTTTGGTTCTGCCCAGTCGTGAACCTAAAACGACACCACCATCTGAGGTCTGCTGTGAACTGAAGGAGCTGCCATAACATTTATGATTAAGTCCTGGAAGGTTTCATTTTACATTTCGTAAAAAAAAAAACATAACATCAACGTCGAGTTATTTGTACTTTAAAGCAGTGTTTCCCAAACTTGTTTTCTGGGTACCCATATTTTAAAAGTCACTACCCTTCGCGACCCAAGTCAATAGGCATTATTCGTAAACTCCTGGGAGACGACCCGAAAAAAAATCTCTTGTGACCCACCTGAGGGTCACGACCCAGTCTTTGGGAAACAATGACTTAAAGTGTGGTGGTTTATTTAGCTCTTTGTTTGTTGTTGCAAGAAGTAATTTTACGAGTGGAAAACATACCTGTTATATGGCAGTAATGCAACTCTAAGGATGCTAGCTGCTGTTGACGAGGTGAGGACAGGCCTGATAAACCTATGTTTGTTTTTTGGGGAACATAATTATGATTAAGATTATTTAAAGTAAAAATATAATTTCAATGTTTTTAATTTATTTTGTATCAAAATGTTTAATAAAGTTAGTCGCGACGCCTGGAGGTGTACGGCGCTATTTCAGAGCGACTTACTCGGGAAAAAACCCACGCACCACGCTATCGCCTTAACCGCCACCCGCCACCATGTGACGCCATTTCACGATTAAACACCTGGGCTAAAACAAAACCATGAGCATCCAGTAGTCGTGAAGAATAAATGGTGTATAAGAGTCTAGTATTTTGAATTTTCTACTGCAAAACAACTTCACAGTCAATACTACGGAGTGCTGCTAGGAGGTTATCCACATATGTACAAACTCCCCCGCGCGTCGCCGCAGAGATCGGACCCGTCGAGCGTGCGCCGCCTTCGCGCCGACCGGACGTTTGAGATATATAAAAATAAAACAGTGGTTGTTTCACAACGCTATGTGCGACCCTCAGACTTCAGAAGTGCTGCCGCCCGTTTCACCCTGTACGTATTTGTCGTCAACCGAATGACGGACACGCTCCGCTTGTTTCAGTCGGATATAAGAAAAAATAAAAAATAAAAAAATTTAAAAATTCTAATAATTAAAATAATAATAAAAAAATACAACAAGGTACATGGTAGGTGTCACCTGATAGTACAACATCCGTACCCAGCATATCCAGCTTTTCCTTGTGATTAATGGAAGCTTGGGTACATACAGTGTAGGAGGTGAGTGTGTGTTTGTGTATACCTCTGCTGCCTTCCGACAGTACTTGGTTCGGTATCCTCTCTTTGTATCTCGTTCATCTGGTTAAAGTGCTTCACGTACGTGGCACGACGCCTCGTCTCTGCCACTGCCTGTCTGTCTCTAAATGTGCAAGGCTGGCGTTTGGACCATGTCCCAGTAGTTAACAACGATGAGTTAAACAAAGAAAGAAAGAAAGAAAAAGAACTGTATATAAATAATGTGAGCCTGTGTGACATAATGAAAACAAAGGCAGGAAGTAAAGTAAGAAAATGGGGTTGAAAAAAAAAAAAAAACCGGGTTCTGTGCTCTAGATGACCTGGCAGCAGCTGTGCGGGGTGGGCGTGCACAGCAGACCCTCCTTGGGACTCCGGTGGATGTTGACGGACAGAGTCTTGTCGTTGAGGGGCATCTGCAGCACGCGGTTCTTCATGTTCCTGTGGGTCTCCCTGGCCAGGTCCAGCTCCCCTAGCCTCAGGGAGCCCGAGTGGCGGGGCCCGTCCAGCAGCGAGTCTCCCATCGCGTCTCCCATTGGATGCTGTTGGTAGAGGTTCCCCCTGGGCGAGGGCCCGCCCAGGAGCGAGACCTTGTCTAGACTTCCAGTGGAGCCGCCCATGCACATCCGCCACACGGGGCGCTCCTGGTTGTCCAGTCCGACGCTTCCGCCACTGACGCCTGTCAGGTTGTGGAACTGAGAGCTCAGACACAGGCTCATCAGCTTCAGACTCTCCACCAGGCCACTGGGAGCTTTGCCCTTGCTCTGACCTGACCCCGATCCAGGACTGGGACAGTTAGAGGGGCTGCCCACCGCTGCCCCTCTTTTCTCCCTGTCATCTTTCCTACGTTCCCTCTCATCCGCTTTTCCCAGCGCGGACGCTATGTGGTTGCTTTCGGTGTCTTCGTCGCTAGTCTCTGAGCTCGGGGTAAAAGCAGCCACCGGCGCCAGCACTGGGTTGGATGATGACATGACCGTGGTCGGCGATGATATTTGAGAGTTCAGATTTAGACTCAGGCTAGGTTTAGGTGTAACGAGTCCGGTCAACTTTCTCCCGTCCGTCTCCTCGTCTTCTTCCTCATCCTCTTTGACCTCTTCGTGTATCTGGTTGAGGACCGGAGCACTCATTCGTGATGCCAGCCGGTTACCAGAAGAGGGCAACGAAGAGGACGCTTTGCTGCGGAGCACCACTCGAGGCAGCGTAGAAGAACACGTGTCTTCTTCGCCATCTTCTTCCTCATCTTCTTCCACGCTAAAAAGACTGGGACTACGGGTCTTGGGGGGGGCAAGTGATACCAGAGGCCCAAGCCTGCCGGGGTTGGAGTGAGGTTTTGTCAGTGGTCTGATCCCCCGCTCTTGATTGGCTCTCGGAGCGTGCTTTTGTCTCGATGCTAAACTGTGGCTTCCTTGTCCTTGATTGACGTCCAATAGGGCTGTTTTTGGCCTGGGGCCCTGGTGGAGGCTTTCGGCACTACGGGCAGGGGACTGTGGCCCCCCAGGGTGAGAGATGGCTGGGCCTCCCAAACCGTTGCTTACATCCTGGTGAATGTCGACTCTGGTCGGCCAAGATTGTCTGAAAACATTGTAGATACAAATGACATTTGACATCTATTCATGTGATGTCTACAACTTTATCCTGGTGAAAAACATGTTGAAGACACATGGTCAAATTTTGTTGGGAATTTTTTGGTAACCAGCTTATTAGTTTTTACGATAAGGGGTACCTAACCCCCGGTTCGGGGGCCGGTGCCGGTCCGTAGGTCAGTTGGTACTGGTAAACTGTACCTCAGTTTTTACTAATTTACTTAATTCCAAAAAAATCCATTCATATTGCTTTATTTTTCTTAATTCCAAAAAAATCCATTCATATTGATTTATTTTTCTCACCTAAAGATAATGTTTCAAAACAACAGGTCATTCAGATGTTTTATTTTGAAAATGTAATGATCCTTCAATGGTATTAGTAGTCCGCAGTAACGGCCGATACTGGCCGACCGGTCCTAGGCCGACCGGTCCTAGGCCGACCGGTCCTAGGGGTGTGTGCATACCTGAACTGAGCCTTGCTGGGGCTCGGTGATCGTGTCTGGCCATGTTGCTCCTTTTCCTGCTTCTCCCTCAGCATCCTCTCAGCCAATAAGAAGTAAGTTGCAGTGATGTGGTTGTACTGATTTGACTCCAGAGCCCTGAAAAATGTATTCACGGGATTTAATTTGAATTTAAACCGATAGACAAACCCAAACTTAAACTGTGAATTAGAAGATTTAAACCGATAGACAAACCCAAACTTGAACTGTGAATTAGAAAAAAGTGACAGTATTTCAAATTAAAAGGAAACATTTCCGAGGGCCCCACACCAAAGAGGAGCTCATACTCTGTTATGATGTCTCGGTCTGCAATGCCCCCTAGCACCATGCGCTGAATGATGGAGCCGTGCTCCTCCTCTGACAAGCTGCGGTGAGACACCAAAGGAGTTGAAAACTTGGTGGCCGGAGACGGGTCCACACCCTGGAGCCATTTGTGGGCTTCAATCTGCTCTAGGGTCGCTCGTTTTTTGGGGTCCCTCTGCAGCATATGTCCTATAAGACTGGAGGGGACAGAAAAAAGGCTGGTGTTAAACGAAAAAAGTGAGGCAGCTAAAAAAACACAGACAAAATAAAAGAACATTTTCTTTCATTCCTGTGAGTATTATCGACATTGTGTTCAACAAAATAGGCCCAGCTTTCAGACTGTGTACATAAATTGTGAATGAAAGATCATTACCTTATTTTCTGGACTATAAGTCACACGTTTTTTCATCCTTTGGCTGGTTTTGAGACTTATACTCAGGTGCGACACATAGAATATATAATGACCATATATATATATATTAGAATATATAAATTCACGTTTGTTATTTTCACGCTGACAACCACCAGAGGGCACTCTAAGCTTGTGTACCAGCATCTGTTACTCCTGTACCACTGAAAATGTATATGTTCGTGATTCTTACTCTGACAGCCACTAGAGGGCACTCTTGGCTTGTGTACCAGTATCTGCCACTCCTGCACTACTGAAAATTTACATGTTCGTAATTTTCACACTGACAGCCGCTAGGGTTCACTGGTGCGACATATACAAACAGCCGCTAGAGGTCACTGGTGCGACATATACGCCGCAGCGACTTATAGTCCGGAAAATACGGTAAGTTTCATGACATAGTTTTTGGAACATTTTTGTTTCGTGTTGTGCAGTGAGGTTTTCCAATGTAAAATATTAGACAAAAAAGTTTGGGAAAAAGCAATGACAACAATATCTATAGCAACAGAAGTAAGGCCCACTCTGATGCCTTGTTAAAAGCGTACGTATTAAAAGTGACTTTACACAGAGCTGCATCTGTAGTGGTGCGGCTGACTGCAGCACTCAGTGAACGTCAGGACAACAAGGAGAAGCAGGGGAGGAAAAAAAAAAAAGCTCCCGTGCTTTTTTTTTCTCACTCCACTCTAAACATGAAATATGCATCAGTGGCCCGGCCCTCCGTCCATCTGTTTGTGCGTGGGGGTACTCACTTTTTACAGGCAGGTGAGATGTGTGGAGGCACGTTGTATTTACAGTCCATGATCATAGTCAGGGTCTCACTGTCGTTCGCCTCCTGGAAGGGCGGCTGCCCACAAACCAGCATGTAGAGGATAACCCCCAGACTCCATATATCTGCAGACACACAGGGACCACAGCGTGTGTTCAAATATGGATTATCTGATCATTTCCTGCAACGAGCACAAAAGCAATGACAGACGACAGAGCGACAGAGTAAAGCCTGTCCTGTCTGTTTAGTGACCTAGATTAGATTGGACCGGCGCTTTCTCCTTCACATTTTAGATGAAGCATGAGTCATGAGATTCTTTCTGAGCTGTTTCCATAAATATATACATGCGGAGAACTGCAACGCTGGCAGCCCCATACGCTTATATGCGAACACGTGTGCACACGAGCTACGGCTAATGTGTTTTATTGGACAAGTGACATGTTTTAAAGAGCGACCATTGGCTGTGGGCTCTCACCCACTCTGGACAGTGGGATGGTCCACTGACACACATCCTGAAGTCGTACGCCGAACGCAAACAAACAGCTCCTTTGGGAAAAAAAAATATGATGCTTTTAATGTTGACGCATGAGCTGCAATCTGTTTTTAAGCCATGGCACATATATATATATATATTTAGGAAAAACGCCACAGCACACCACCAAACAAAACTCTCACGAAAAGTATGTAATGAAATATAATAATCCTCTGGTTTAAATTTACTACAAATGTACTCCTGTTTAGTTAAAAACAACACTGATAATCTGGCAGGAATTGAAGAAAGTCACATGTTCAACAGCTCAGACTTTAAAAAAAAAAGATTTAATAGCCATCTGCGGCCACCTAGTGGAAGATGATTCAATTGCTCTAAATTTAATTGTTGTCATAGTGAAATTAATTTGAGATAGTTAGAAATTAGATTTATATAAAAAAAATGTAACAGCTACAGCAACGATTACAAACACGGTTATTAGAATTGTACTAATAGCACCCCCTGCAGGGATGATTCAGTGTTCATGTTTTTAAACCATATTACCACTGTTCTGTTCTGTTCTGTTCTGTTGGTTCATAGGTTGAAAGATGCATCTAATCGAGCTCCATTCACTTCACGTTTCCTCACAGCGCTCCATTTCGCCCCGGAATTGTTGGATTTTTTTTTTTTTTTTTTCAATCTGCTAATGCAAAACTGCCAGTTTGCTGTGGGTGGTGGATATTTATTCCTCTCAGGGTGTGAGCAGGTTTCTTAGCGCCGTGTTGATGGAGCGAGCAAACACTGCTGCACTCCCCTCCAACATCTTTCCCTCAGCCAACGTCTCCTAGCAACCATCACCCTGCTTCCTCGCCACTTGCGTCAGCGACCCACCAAACTTCCTTCCTCTGTAACTTTATTTATAAACCCGACGGATGACAAACTTACGTCAAACCACCTTTGCATCGCATGTAATTTCAGACACTATTGTTGCATTTTCCACACGGCCTCTTTCCTCAGATAAGCACAGAACACTCCCTCGTCTCTTGGCACCTTTACCCCCGGGCCGTGTGGCGCTGTTCCTGTCCTGCTGATCACGGGACAACACTAAATAAATCTCACCGGTGCCCATTTATTATGCAGGGATACATTCTGAATTATGCATGCATGAGCCCAGGATATGTTTTTGTAAGTGTTACTTGGAGAGAATTATTTTTTAAGTGCACACTGAGGAGGCAGAAAATCAATATTTAACCTGCCGTTTACTGGAAACAAACAGTAGGAGGTCCACGTAGAGTGCGCAGCATAAACAGAACACGGGCATCAAGTTTATGTTAGTCCATCAGCGGCTTCCAGCTAATGCGCAGACATGTCTGCCCTGTGCTAGGTCTGGGCCTGAGTCCCATGTTTTACAGTAAAAACTACTACTTTGTAATGATGTATTTGTTGCAGTAAATTGCTGTTTGTATATATTTTAACAATAACCGTTTCCCATGTAAATGATGCAGTATAAGGAAGCAATGGATGGTCACTTACAGTAATCGAATACTAAAGTAACAAATTTAACAATCAATTAATCACTTTGAGCATTTGAATAACATGTATGAACAAGAACCAATATAATCAAATATATGTGTGTATATATAAATATATACACATATATACAAATATATTTTACATATATTTGTGTATACACATATATATTCACATATACACATGCTGTATATAGTTTATACTGTACACATATATGCATATATATACATATTTGTTTATATTTATAATAAAGATATCTCAAATATAAACATAATTATCGTCATTTTCAGCCAATATTTAGAAAGACCATTACTGACAAATGAATTGCGAAAGAAATCTACACGTGCAATGACTCGACATTGTTCGACGTTACCAACCTTCATGTTACTGTTGACGGACCAACCACAATAGCTGGGAACTTGATCTGAAATCACTGACACTTCTACCGCCATCTGCTCCATTACCAATGATTATCATCCAAAACAATAAACATGTGTCACGCAAAATAAACAAATCATTTTTTTCCAGAAATCTTTTTTTTTTGTGGGCATTGGCAACGTCTTCATCGGCGCAAATTACAAAAACGTGGCTCTGTGTCAACACTGGATGGACTTGACAGGCCTTTCTGTGGTTTGCCTGCAATTAAAAATGTTTGGCATGGAACGGAGAGGAGAGTCAGACAATGATGACTGTTAAGTAGCCACCAAAATAAGAAAAACATCTCTATGCAGAATTGAACTGCAATCTATTTTAATAGGTGCCAACAGCACCAGCATTCTGCCGACTCTACAAAGAAACATACAATGGTTTGTACAGATAAACAAATAGGTAGTTTAGATTAGATAGATGGATGGATGGATGGATGGATAGATGGATGGATGGATGGATAGATGGATAGATGGATGATGGATGGATAGATAGATGGATAGATAAATAGATAGATGGATGGATGGATAGATAAATAGATAGATAGATGGATGGATGGATGGATGTATAGATAAATAGATAGATGGATGGATGGATAGATAAATAGATAGATAGATGGATGGATGGATGGATGTATAGATAAATAGATAGATGGATGGATGGATGGATGGATGGATAGATAAATAGATAGATAGATGGATGGATGGATGGATGTATAGATAAATAGATAGATGGATGGATGGATAGATAAATAGATAGATAGATGGATGGATGGATGGATGTATAGATAAATAGATAGATGGATGGATGGATAGATGGATGGATGGATAGATGGATGGATAGATAAATAGATGGATGGATGGATAGAATTTTTTAGTTTATTCTAAATAGATAGATGGATGGATGGATAGAATGTTTTAGTTTTTATACCTAAGTATTCATCATACTTTCATCATGCTGTACTATTTGAGGGAGTTTTTGCTCTTAAATAAAATGCAAAATAAGAAATATTAATTTAACCTTGACACCGTTTGAGCAGCGTTACTCTTTCTATTCCGCTGCCGTTTCCCTCTCGGAATATTTTCTCCCGCTCTCCAAAATGAGCAACAGCCTCCAAAACAGGCCAAGAGAAGAGAAGACAGCCCATTTATCTTTGCAGAAAATCTGCACCGTTCTTATTGTCCACCTGCAGGTACTATGAGAGCTCATGTAATCCCAGGGCCAGTTTACCTCTTGGTGCGCCCATTCAGTGTGTTCAACACCAGCCTGCACTGCACTGCTCCCGGAATCACATCAAGATTAAATCCCCAGCCGTCTGGATAATCCCCTCAATACAAACACCATCATGTCAGCTGAATGAACAATAGCGCACGGGCAGAGTGGACGTGCTGAATGCTAAACACGCATCAAAACAAACGGAAGGGAGAGAGTGCATTCGCTTACATCCTCACTTTATCACTTACCCTAACTGGTATAAGTTTAGCCTATAAATACTTCCATTATTAACCAGGGACTGAGGAAAAGGTTCGAACTCATTAGGATCAGGTTTTGGCCTCCATAAGGACTTCAGGACAAAGATGGAAACTGTCTTTAGGTAACTAAAAATAGCTACTGTAAGAACACACACACAGCCCACAGTTCCAGATATTCACAAAATCTCAAAATCCCCAGGTAATCACATTATGGTTAGAGAGAGCGAGAAAAAAAAAAATAAAAGAAATATTAAGAAAGGAAACTGGGGCTCGAACCCATGACCTTCTGTTTGTAAGGCAGATATGTAAGACAGGCCTGATAACCAGTGCGTTATTGAAACAAGACTCAGTCAGCCTACTTTGCTCTTGTTCCGCGCCGCAGCATTTCATCTCTTTTTTTTTTCCCCCATTTCATTTTAATTTAATCTAGAATCCACGGCTTAGGAAGAACCGGGATCTACTGTCAATAGGAAACACAGACGGCTGATGGCAGCACTGATAATGAGTATTGATGCACTAGATAACTGTGCCAAGGAAACCAATTTCAGCCTGATCTGATATCACATTTCATAATAAACACAAATAGCATGACTGACAGCGTCCACAAACTGAAGACCAAAGACGAAAATGGGTCGACTCAAACACGTGGACGTTGATTTGACCTCGTTTCGAAACCCAGTGATCCCCAGCCAATGTGCCGCAGGTCCTCAAAAACTATTAATTTGTCTTTGTTCATCCATGGCACAGTGACAGGCAGAGCAATTAAATGTCATTCCTGTAGATGGCACTAGATGGCTTTAAAAGATAAAAAGACTCAGAGCTGATGAAGGAGATCTTAAGGTGTTTCTTTCTTCAATACCTGTGAGTATATCAGCACTGTGTTCAAATAAACAGGCCCAGGTACTGTAAATTATGAGGTAACTGAAATTGAATTGACGTTTTAATTGATATTGAATCACTAGACTTCATTACAGGTACTTTTTGTGACATTTTGTTTGGTAGTGTGCTGTACGATTAGTCAATTTGAAATGAAATATTAGACCTATAGATGGCACCAGATGGTTCCAAAAACTAAAAAGAATTTTTAAAAAATGCTTCATTACATGTACTTTTTGTGACATTTTGTTTGTTGGTGTGCTGTGTAATTAGGCGAATGTGAAATAAAATATCATTCCTGTAGATGGCACCAGATGGCTTTAAAAACGAAAAAAATATTTCTTTCTTCAATACCTGTGAGTATATCAGCATTGTGTTCAAATAAACAGGCCCGGGTTTCACATTGTGTAGGTAAATCGTGAGGTAATTGTAAGTAAATTTACATTTTTTCATTACATGTACATCTCAAAAAAAAGAATGAATTTTCAAGTGTCTGATCAGCCTGCCCATGTACCAAGGTTGTCTGCTGATCTTTCAAAGTACAGTGGTTAGATAAGAGCCAAAGTGTGTGAACTGCTATCAGTGGATCATTAGGCACAGCGTATGTGCGGTAATAACAGAGGAGGACAACATGTACTACTGCATGTACTACTACAAAGGAATGTGTGTTGGAAAAGCAAGGCCACACAGTCCCATTTCAGTGGAAGCAATAATAAAGAAGCAATAACCATACATCGGAAAAGCAGCAGAGAGCTATACTGTAGCGTCACGCTGGAAGCTACAATATATCAGACTTACCCACTGCAGGAGCATCGTATTCATCACCGAGCAGTATTTCCGGAGCGGAGTAGGCCAGCGAACCGCAGGAGGTGTTGAGGTTTTTCCCAGGCTGGAAGCGGTTGCTGAAGCCAAAGTCGGTTAGCTTTACGACGCCCTGTTTCTCAAAGAACACCACGTTTTCTGGCTTCAGATCCCTGTGCACGACATGTAGCTGATGGCAGTAGGAGATGGCGTGGACAATTTGGGCGAAGTAACACTTGGCCACCTAATGGTGGAAAAAAAAAAGAGGCATTAAAATGAATGATTTTTAGTGTCACAATAATGTTGATTTGAATAAATGATTTGTATTCGCTTTTTTTGTGTGTGTAAGAAATCTTAGCAACTTGTTTGCTAGCTAGCAAGGTTTTGGTGTAATGTTTTAGTGATTTATATTTCTAAATAGGCCGGAATTATTAGTCACACAGTTGTCTGATGTACAAATGTGCCATTTATATATGTGTATATATATTTATATGTATGTATACATATATCCTACCATCAATGTCAACAAACAACAAATCAACAAAAAAATACCTTTGTGTGGAGAGATACAAGTATATAAACAGTAACTAGACAATGTAGCATGATGTATGTACTTAATGAAACTTTTTACCAATTACTTCATCCGTATTTGTTTTATTTTAGGGAACAAAACAAACTGCCTCCCCAATAAGTCCTTGCGCTAATCAAAGCTAGCTGATCCATGATTTATTACCTAACTATTTGAAATCATTTTGATTACCAGTGCTAAAACAGAATCATCTTTTGTGTGTTTGTGTGTACAGACTCAAACTAGAGCAGAAGGTTCCCAAAGTGGGGAACGCGCCCCGAGAGGGGATCTTAAGGTACAGCAAATTATCTTCAATTTCAATATTTTCAGTTTTCTGATTCTGATTTTCTGAAGGAAAATCGCATTTATTTGTAATTTTATTTTTTGTGTTCAGTGAAAATGGAATAAATAGATACAAAATATTTAACTATTACTATATAGTTAAGTAACTAAAACTATAAATCTGATCTTCCATGTAATGCATTATTCAACCTTTTCAAATACTTGAGCTCCTGTATGCCTCTAGCATATGTTCTGTCACTTCATCCTAGCTAAAAGAACCCATTAAAAAAGGACTTGTACAGACATATCGCCTCTATCACGTCTGAGGAGAACCCTCACCTCCTCACTGAGTCCTCCTTCGTGCTTCATGATACAGTCGTACATGTCTCCTCCATCTCCCAGCTCGAGAATGAGGTAGAGCTTGGTGGCCGTGTCGATGACCTCGTACAAGCGCACCACGTTGGGATGTTGCACCATTTTCATGCATCTCACCTCCTGGAAAAGGTGTGCACGTGCCACCGGGTCCAGCTTGGTCTTCTCTATGACTTTGACTGCAACCTAGTGGACAGACAAAATTATACTTTTTCATATTTCTTTCGTGTACACGTTGTATGTACTTTTGTACTACAGCTGCGAGCAATAGTAATACACTGTATTCACAGGCTCTTGGTTGACTGATGCGTTTTGTTGATAGTAAAAAATTTTTTATTATTATGAAACAAAACAGTGATTTTTAAGCTCCACCGTAACAATAAAAAATCTGTCTATAAACATTTGAAAAAATAAAAATTAGAACGTTAAATACCAGAAATCTACATTACTCCACCAAGCCTGTAACGAGGTTAATTAAAAGTATTGATAGGAGTATTGATTCTGTGGTATCGATTACTTCCTTAGTATCGATTCGAATTAATAGATGAAGATATTTGATTGATTTCAGAATTTTAACCTTTATGATCAGGACTGACGTTGATCAATAGATATGAAAAAATATTACTATAATTTTTGATGATTTTAATAGTAGCAATCAAACTATTCAGGATACATTTAGTAAAAATGAAGCAATTTGTTATGACTAACATCTTGTGAAAAATACATATCAAGTTGTTAAATACAAAAAACACACAAAAATTCCCAGGGGTAAAAAAAAAAAATCACAAAATATCAAAATCGGTATTGAAAATAAAATGCCAAAAAAGTAATCTGTATCATACCAAATCCAAAAATCTGGTATCACCCGTCGCTAATAAAAGGTAAACTGTACCTTTTCTCCGGTGAATACGTGTCGAGCTAGTTTGACCACAGCGAAGTGCCCACGGCCCAGAGTCTTGTCCAGGTCGTACAGCCCAGCGATCTTCCCATCACGATGACGTTTGAGCCCAGCCATGGCAGCTAGCTAACAGGGAGAAAAGTAGCTGGATTCTGTCGCCCGCTGGTCCTGGGTCAGTTCTCCATTTCCTCCTCAGTAAACGGATGTCTGGTGAGGTTGGCGTTGGAGGTTGGTTCTCGACCTAACGTGGGTCTGTTCAGCGAAGCTTTAAGGGGTTTGACGGTCTCACTTCTCTATAGGATCAAGAGCTGCTCAGAGTTTCACCAGTGTCCATCGACTTCACAGTACTGAGAGAGAGAGACGATCTGCAAAAAAAAAATTATAATTAGAGTGAAATTCAAATTTTAGATGTATCCCTTAATAAAAGTGTATTTATTATAAAAAATCCTTATCATTTGTGGATAAAAATATACAGTGCAATATTTCTACGCCAAAACAGTCTCACACCACGGTGTCATTTGAAGAAGGCAAAAATAAACCAAGCAGCTGGGGTGAAATGATTGCGTTCTCACGAAGTGCTCGGCGGAAAGATCAGTGGAAAATGTTCCTTTTGAATGTATTATGATGTGAACTTTCTGATCATTGTCAAGGGACGGGTCATCCGATTAGTAATTTCACACGCGGCAAGTGAAAGTCATACTGGAGCTTTGATGTCTACAAATCAAAACGGAAAAAAAACGGGAACGGAACGAATCCGTCTGAATCTCAGGAATATCATCAAAAGGGGATTTCATTTAATTGGCTACTTTTAAAAACATTTACAAACTGTTGCTTCCAGCTCGCTCAGAAATGACCAAAAACATTAAAGATAATTAATGTTTTAGCTATCACTATAAAAACGTATTTAGTAAATATGGATATAAAACATCATGGATGTATCAGTGTTTTTCAACCTGGAGGTCGCAACCCCATGTGGGGTCACCTGGAATTCAAATGGGGTCGCCTGAAATATGTGGTAATTGAATA